ACCTCCGGTTACCTCTTGTCCCTCTTGCTGACCTTCCCATAACCTGACGAGTTAATCGTTCCTCTCAACAACAAGAAGTCGAAAGACGATACGGGAGATGATGATAATGAGGACTAAATCTTTTATTTTTTAAAAAAGGTAGCCTATTATTTTTTTATTAAAAAAATAGCGATGGAATAGAAAGGGTAATTGGCGATAGATAAATATATAGTCGCTAAATAACGATGGAATTAATGATAAAATTGCAAGAATATTAACAACTATAATTTAATGATAGCCCATTCCACCACTAAATAGCAACAAATGTAAGTCAAAATAGCGACAATTGGCAACGGCTTTGAAACATCACGGATGACTGATTTAGATCCATTTAGCGACGAAAAAAAATCAATCACTAAAAAAATAGTAACTATCATATTAATGATGGAATACTTATTGTCTCTAATATGTTGCTAATTAAATATAGCGACATATTTTTTCCAAATAGCAATGGAAAATTCCATCGATATTTAGCAAAATTCTATGAGTGATAGGATAGAACCTTGAAAAGCAATATGCAAATCATTGTAAAAAAAGAAAAAAACAAAAAAAGTAATTACATGATAATATTAGCATTATCATTTTTATGAAACTTTTTTATTTTAAAGTGTTCATTTTTATTTTTATTATATGTGAACGAAAATATTAAGTATATAGGCACAAATAAAAATTTTGTGCTACCTTTTGATTAGAGAATCTAAAGATTTAAATCCTTTCATATAAAGAGTAAAAAATAACATTAAACAATAATCAAAAGTCTTACAGTACAATAATAACAATTTGTTGAATTTTGATGTAATTTTATTGTTTTTAGATTTTAATTATATGTGAGATAAGAAATAAAAATACTAGTATGAATAAAAATTTTATGAGTTTAAAGAAGTTTTTTTTAAAATATGAGTAACAATTGTAGAAAGGAATAACAAAAAAAATTATAAATCCTTTCATCCAAAAGAGTTAAAGATAAGATAATAACCAAAGATCTCATATATAAAAAATAAATAAATAAATAAAGGTCCTATTTAATAATTTGATAAATTGATTTAATTTTAGTTATTAGCTTTTGTTGATATATTTTAATCATTTTTATAGTTTTGATGGTCAAAATAAAGTGTCGATAAGGTATTATATTGATTATCAATTATTTAGGAAGCTTATTATATAGAGTTAATTGATTAATCTATTGTTATATATTTGGTTTATTAATTCTTATGTTCTTTTAAGAATTTTTTACTCTCATTCTTGTATATTCATATTTTGTTCTCACATAACATGTTGCTTTTTTCTTTGGCCAAAAATGCCCCTAGGACCTAGAAAAATTGAAAAATAACTTTAAAAACCCATAAGATAGAAAAAAAATTTGGAAAACTTAGAAACGTAAAAACTTGAAACTTCCAAAAAAAAAAAAAAAAAAGATAACCCATACAATATTTAAAAAAAAAAAAAAAAAAAATTGGTAACTAATGAAAATTTTGAAAAATTCATGTCCTGTAAAACTTATTTCGTTTCCAATGACATATTCTATTGCAAGGCTTTATGGACATGATTTTGTTCATTTTCAATATTTCACAAGTTTTTTTTTTTTTTTGTAGATTTTTCAATTTTTTCAAGGATTTTTTTTATACTATTTAAGTTTTGTCGGGTTTTTCATTTTTTTAAGTAAATTTTTATTTTTTTAGGCTTTTCAAAATTAAAATTTTTTGAAGGTTGTAGGGGCATTTTTATCCAAAATGCAAGAAAATGATATGTAAGAGAAAATATAAAAATACAACTGCATATATGAGTGAAAAAAAATCTTAAAAAGTTATATCGAAGAATGCGTCTAATATAAAACAATAGATAGATATAGCAATCATATTTTATATTATTTAAGGTTATATATATATATATGGACTTCAAGTAAGAAATGATTAACAATAAGGGCAAATTCTAGTAGTAATAGTTGATTAGTGGAAAGACTAACAGATAGCAAGTCACAGGGAGGGAATTTCATGACCAAGAAGAAACTTAAAAGAATAAAAGAAGAATTAGATGGCATATTAATGGCACCAAGTATAACTTTACAGAAAGTGGTTTAAAAAAAATTATAAAAAAGATAATAAACTTTTTTTGTAACAAAAAAAAAAAAAAAAAAAGAGAAAAGAACGGTAAAGGGAATAGGACGGTGGTGGTGCTAAATTCGACTCCACCACCAAGAGAGTGCTCCTCCTGCTCCTTCTCATATCACCAATGGCAATTTCCTTCATTAATTTGTGCTGTGGCGGGGGTGGGGTCCCAATTTGGGTTTATTCCTAGGTGGTCTATCAAGTGCCAGGTGGCAGCCTATGAACCAATCTTTGTAAAATCTATACCCACCATTGTATTGTTGGGCTGCAAGGATGTTGGCTTTTGAAAGGTCAAACACAACATTTGATGATAATCTTGATAATTTAACTCAAAAAAGATTTGTGTCAAAGTGATTCCAAAATTCTATAATGGTGCTTCACTACAAGGAACATATGTTAGATTTTAGAGTATCTAATTGGCTTCTCCACCACAAATTTTAGTTTTCTGGCTTCAATTAACGTGGCTTTATCTTAACCTTAATTATGGTATTAGGCATTTGGTACTTTGCACTACCCCTCCGCTTTATGAAAGACAAGTATCTGCTGCTGTGCTTACTTGGTGACTAACGTGACATTTTTTAAAATATATATATATATATATATATATATATATAATGCAAGGGAATTTCAAAAAGGCTGGTCAAGTGAGATAATAAATTTTTAAACTAGTTTTCTTCAACTAGCAAACTGAGGAATCTCAGTTCCAATATCATCGCCAATTCTTTTGATGGTCCTGGTCTGGTCCCATGACCGTCAAAACGGTGTTTTTATCCAATAATTATAAGGGCTTTTAAAGGGACAGGAGAATTGACACATGTCCAGAATTACTGGATGCTATATGATATTCGCTAAATTTAGATTTTTGCCAAAGGTTCTTCCCTCGGATGCTCGTCTCTCAATCGGGGTTCAACTGTACTTAAGTACTGAAGTTGGCCCACTTCCAGGATGGTAGCATAAATAACACCTCTTTAGTAGTACTAGTAGTCTTCGACGGCATTCCGGCTAGCCGACAACTACACGTCATTTTGGCATCCCAAAGACCTGAACCCGAGACCAGACCCTCAGAAATCTGCAAATGACAAATTCTATATTGAAAAACAAAAAAAATTAATTGATTTGCATGCCATTTTCTCATACAGCCCTGTAGAACATTTTAGGAAATAAAGGCCATGTAAAGAAGAAGATTTGAGCTTCCAGATCGTCAGACTAATTTAACTGTGAGTAAGGTTAGAGACTTGACGTAATCTTGACGACGAAAATAATGGAGACACACTTACGGGGTAGATGCATACTGACCTGCCCTTTTCTTGTTCGTCCAAAGTAAAACATAAAGGTGTTACCGGTTTAGAATTTATAAGATTTTTTTTTTTTTTTTTTTTGGAGGTTAATAGTATGAAATGTTCCTCTACTCTTCCAGGTTTTCTTAATTTAGTTTTTTTTTACTTTCAAAATTTTCTTAATATGGCTTCTTCCATGATTTTCCAACTAATTTTCTAAGGAAACATGCCATGTGACAAAAAAAAATACATGTCAAATTGATTTGTCATGTGAAAAAAAAAAAAAAAGAAATGAAAATTTTCCTTGAAAAAAATATATAGATAAAAAAAACATGACTAAAAAGGCCAAACTTCTCATGAACTTTAGTCTATTAGAAAATCAGCTTTTAAATTTTTAATTTATGTTTTGATATTTTTATACTTTATTTTCTTTAAAATTTAGTCCATCTTTTAATTTTTTATCATTTATCCTTAAAAATAACAATTACATAAATAGTTCAATAATGAAAATCATTTAATAAAATTTACTTAAAGCTTTCTGAAAAATTTAAGGTCATCCCAGATTATTTTTAATTTTTTTCAATTTTATATTTTTAATATTTAAAAAATAAACAAATACAATTCTCGATCTTGAAAAATAAAATTTTAAAATAGAAAATGGATTGGATTTTTTTTTTACGTGTGTGCAAAAGTTTAAATTAAAATGCCAAGAATTGAATTTTAAAAAAGAATGATGATAGCTAAAAATCATAAGATTAACTAAATCTCAAAAAAAAAAAAAAACATCAAATCACAAACAGGAACTATTGTCATATGAATGAAGTTAGGCACTTTTAACCTAAAAATTTTTTTTTTTCACGTGACAGATGACTTGTCATGACACGTGACATTTTTTATCACATCACTTTACTCGAAAATTAGCCAAAAAAGCCATTGGAGGAACTACAAAATTTGTAAGAGTAGATGAATGTTTCATACTATAAATCCTATTTTTGGCAGAACTTGATACGTTTATACATGCAGCACTAACACAATGCACCCACATAGGTTCATACCATGAATATAGAAAAATGAGGAAAATGGAATCCGGACACTTTCTCCGCTTGACAACATTTTATCAGAATGCAGAATACAAATTCAGAATTTTCAAGACTAGCATCTAAATATAAACTAGTGGATTTGCCATCAGGTTTCACTTAAACTGGTTAGTTAACAACTTTACAGTGCTTTTGTGTTGAGATAATCAACTTCTCTCACCATGAATTCCAGGCAAAAAAAAAATTGGTGTAATCACAATCGGGGTTTCCTGGAATGCTAATTTGCGTACTTGAAATTACAGGTGCTTATCCCACAATTTTCAGAATATTTTATTTTCTTAACAGGACAGGAGAGACTTTTACCAAATAAGCTATGCAAGCTCGATTTCTTACATCACCAATCCATACACTACACGAGGATGACCCATCGTTCAGGTAACTAGTGTTTACAGGATTAGAAGCTTGATCTTTGCTTCAGAAATTGATCTGTTCTGGCTAGAATCAGGTCAATGAAGTCAAAGGACAACTTTGGTTGCATCTGGTTACAATGGATTCCTATTCACATCTTTGTACAGCAAATATCGTGTACGGGTCTTACCAAGTGCGGCGTACCTGAAAGGTTAGCAAAATATATCGTCTATCAGATTTGGGTGTACTGAGGAATAAACATTCCATCTTTATATCTTTCTCACCATTGGGGTACAAATGGGGCCATCCATATGGCATCACCAGATTGAACAGGGTACCTGAATGAAACAAAGTATTTTTAAGCTACAAGAACAGACTTTGGAGAAGTTGCAGAAAACAGAATAGCGAGAGCGAGCAAACTGAATGCAAGCACAAAATAATGGGTTAGAGAAATCTTTCAACAAGCCAATAAGCTTGTAGCTCAACTGTCACTCACGCCCCCCTCCCCCAATAGGTCTTAGGCTCAAGCCTCTCCTTTGTAACCCAAAAAAGAATTTTTCAGCGAAAGATGTTCCAGAAGCACTGAGAACCCACTTAGAGCTTGAGTGTATTGTTAAAAAAGCATGACCAGACATGCACTGACCAACAAAGGAGCTTCCCAAACCTAAAACACAACATCATTTATTGAATATGAATCTCAGTTCTTTTTTTTTTTTTTTTTTTTTGATACACAAAAGGTCCACAGCTTTTGACTTGCTCATTAAAGCAGTTTATAATTATGTCTCTATGGAAAAGCTTCGTAGCAATGAAAGCACCAAATAGTTCAGAATCTACCACATAAGCATTTAAATAATATAAACACCAAACAGTACTGAAGAATTGTTTAAGAATAACAGTAATTATTGAGAATCACAACTCTTGATTAAAATTCTTACCAGCTATCACCCAAACGATAAATACCCTGTCCCTCTAATAGCAGTAAACCATGCTGATTGTAATGCACCTCCTACAAAGCAAAAAATGCAAGTGAAAAAAATAGGGAGCAATCATTACAATTTCACATGACAAATTCAAGGGAAAGAAGTCTCAAGAAGCTGACAACTGGGCCGATGTGGTTACTGAAACATGATACTTCGAAGATTGTTGCATCATAAAGATGAAGAGACAGTATATTATAGATTCTTTCCCTAAAATAAGCTCCTTCTGTGTGTCAGTATTTGGCTGGACATCAGACTTCACAAATACTGGTATTCACATTCTTTGGATCTTTAGGCCCTCCAGAAAATTAAATCAGTACAATGGTGAAACAATAGAACAAACAACACTTAAAACCTATGAGATATTGAAACAAAGTATGGAGTTTCAAATGCCAAACAAGAAAAGCATACCTTCACATTAAGGAATTCTCCAGGTTGAAAATCCATTATCTGCAGCCAGGGAATCATACCAACCAAGAATCTAGCTTATTAGAAAGAACACAGCAATTCAAAACTTTGTCAATTCAGTAATGTTTATGATCCAATATTTCATCGATACTACCATAGAAGTTTCCTACATAGTGAAACTAAAGGAACCGGCACCCCTGGCAAATGTTTATATGCATGGAATTCAGAATTTTGGAATTGATAACATAAAATTAGGAGTTTCTGACAATTTCGGAAAACATTCCAGTACTGCAACATGATCCTAAATTTCATGCCAAGATATCGTACAGTATAATATTTGAAGCATCAGTTATTGAAGATCCTAGCTTGCTGGCCCTTTAACCAAGTGACTGGCAACTTGTTCCATGTCTAATGAATTAAACTAATTCTGTAAGGACTTCTTGCATCCAAATCATTTGACAAGGTGAATTGTAAGGCAAATATATAGCACATTCTATTATCTATCCTCATTCTCATTGCTTGCAATTTATTGTGATTACTAGGAAGCATGCAAATGACAGGTAGAGGTGTTGATCAAAACTGCTACTCAACCAAACAGGTTCATGAATCAAAGTTTCTGTGTGCAGAGATATCTGAGTATATAATTTCCAAAATCGTGTATCATATAAGTGCTCACAATTTCTTGTCCATACCAAACCCTATCTACAAAAGCAATCTAAACTAGTCTGTGAAAAGCGCATCTCAGAATGATAAATTATTTGGCTTTTTCGCAAAATCTTTACCTACAAAAGTATCATGATCAAACATTAGAAAGTAAATTAAAGCTTACATGGATATTGAAGTCATATGGTAATGATGGAGGCAGAAGCTTTCTAAGTTCAAAAGCCTGTTAATACATAGAAATGAGCAATACTTTCAAATGTGCACATGACTAGCAAAAATTTAGTAAAATAATGATGTCATAATAAGCTCAGGAATGCAATGCATATTTCTAAGCATGATCATTGTTTGATAAAGAAAAACACATAATTCTATATCATAAATCAAAGTACTTTGCAACGTTAAGAAAACAATAATTGAAAGGTACCTCGCCTGGAGTTTCAAGAAGGGGCTGCTGGTCTGTTGAACCAACAATTTGCTCAGTTGCATGATTTTCTAGAGAAGCATACCTAAAAGGATAAGAAACCCTTTTGGTGATCATAATTATTAAGAACAATGTAGTAGCTAGAGTACATTAGCAAGCAAATAGTAAACTTGATGAAAGACATCTTTTTCATGAACCTGATCAGACAGATATCTAAATAATAAGCCCTGCATCAACTTTCCGGGTCTTAGCAATATCTGGATATTATGAATTTAGATAATCAACTATAATGCCTCCACAAAAATGCTCCAAGCAAAACATAAAAGTTAATAAAGTAATAGCAAAGGTGAGACAGTTATGCATTCAGTTAATCATACTTCATGGAGAAACGAACCTGCGTTCAAAGACAGCAAGGGTAGCAGCTGCGTCACACTCCAGAGAATGTTTGAAATTTGGGGGTAGATAAGCATATGAATCCACCTATAATACGAAGAGTGTGACATCAAATTTTGAAGCCCGCATTAACAAATTAGATATAGATTCCCTTTCTCTAAAGCTGAAGATATATGTACATATGTGTGAGTGGCTGCGCTTTCAAAAACATAGTATTAAGTGTCCTACGTTACAAAGCATGATTCAAAAAGGAAACCAAATGTCTAAACACTGTCTTTTGATGCCTTTTGATTTCAAACTTGCCTTCTGTCAACACTACCAAAAATCTACAACATGGTTGAGTTTTTAAAGGTAATGAACAAATAAGGATGTGTGCATGGGGTTGAGTTTTCAAAAAAACAAGTTCTGAGTGTCATGAACTTCAAAAACATGGTTTAAAAAAAGGTAATCAATCGTCTAAATGTGCCTTTCAATTTCAAACTTGCTTTTTGTCAACTCTACGAAAAATCGTAAACACACTCCTATTGTATAAGTGCCCTAAATTTGTAAACCACACTTGCCGTCATTTGGTGGTAGGCACCAGATGCATTAGTCAGAGTTGCAGAACCCTGAACCACGAACAGGAACCTAACAATTTAGGAAGCATGGGTTAGCCAGGATTGTAATCAGCCCCGCTGATAATGCAAAGACATAAATATTAATAATAGTTCCTCACCTCTCTACATCATTTGGAGGGAGCCCAGACCTGGAATTTTCTGCACATAGTAAGAGCTTATATTAGCAAACAAGCCAAATTAGCAGACAAGCTGACAAGCATAATAAGCTGCATCACATTTTTCACATGAGAGTCACACAGAAGACTAAGTATTCATATATTGGTGGGCAATGGGTTATATCACACGCTGAAGAGTGTCCACAGATTCAAGGCTTCTAAATAGTTGGAACAAGAAGTGCCTCAGTTGTATTCATGTAGGGTGCACTTTCAAGAGAAACAAAATTATTTAGCCTAATCAGATAAATGCAATTACACAAATCCTACAGCACTAGAGCTCAGCTAATCTTTGTTTTACTTCATTTTTCATGAGAACCGAGTTCTGCTGATCATTAAGACTGGAAAAATCTAAAATGATAATAAAACCTCAACTCAAGATCAAGCATAAATAAAAGGAAGGAAACTATACAGCTGAACTGCATACCAGGTTGGACAATAACATTCAAGAAATGTGTGTATGAACATAGAACTTTGTTACTAGGCGTGCCATCCGGATGAAATTGAGGTTTTCTACACAAGACATGTGAAACTCACCCACCATCCTCGTAAGTTATAGAACATATGTATTACATTTAGAGAGAAGACAATCGACTCACATTTCACACTGCATGCATACAGTGGGTTGATTAATCATAATTACTTTCAGAGTCAATGACACCGGATATCATTGATAAACAGTAATACTAACTCTCTAGTTCAAAATATTGCGACAAACCCATGAATTAGCGTAATTTGCAAGTGAGGGAATGAAAAGAGGGGAAAGACATGCTAAAAACAAGTAACCTATGGCAGAAATGCTGCATGATATGTGATAATATGCGACTTCTGAGTTTTTTTTTAAAAAAAAAAACAATTTCAACATAAGATAACAATAATCTTACTAAAATCTTTTCCTGCCTCAAACCAAAAGAACAAGACATTAAAAAAAACCTCGACATAAAATAAAATATGGTCCGAGATCGATAACAACTAGAAACATAAATAATAGAGATGAGCAAACCTTGCATCTTTGCTAGGTACATTACAAAGTGGGAACCCATAGCTGGTGTGATTAGATATGCACCCAATGTATTTGTCCTGTCAAATAAAAATTTGAATGACTAAAGCACCGAAGATTTCTTAAAATAAATCAAAATGCCAAGATGAAAGCAGTACCATTCTGGTAAAGGACTGAATACATGACTTTCTGGTGTTATTAAAGCATGGTCACTCTTATAAGCACTGCGTGTGAAACCTGGCAAGTCTGGAAAACAAAAAATAAAAAATAAAAATTAATTGACTGATTTCTGATTAAAATAAAATTAAATTAAATTAAGACTTAATTCAAGCATTCTTTTAAAAATTGATAGAAAAAACATTTGTTTATTTACAAATGATATAATTCAACAAATTAGTAACAACTTCCGTACATTTCTATTTAAATAGAATAAAAGAAAATGAGTTCTAAATAATACACCGAAAATTGAGAGAGCAGAATAAACCTTGAAGGTGAGAAGGAGAGAGTGTTGGGTTAGTGACTTTCCAATAGAGAGGTTTCGAGGAGGCCGCTTCGGTTTTAAATGCTGAGGGAGCAGAGCAGAATCCTCCATCATCACTCAAAGCTATTTTGAAAAAATCTGGAAACAATCTCAAAATATCAGTTTAATCAATAGACACTAAAAAAAATTAAAAGAAAATGTCGCAGATGTAGAGCAGAGAAAGCAGCCGTACGTGATGATAGAGAGAGTAGGAGGAGGAGGAAGAGAGAAGGTAGCGATGGAGTTTGCATTTTTTTCTTCTTTTGGGCTGTTAAATGAGAGAGTGCAGCAGGAACTAAGACTTGTGTGGCAGGTTGAGTTTGAACCTGCGGCGAGAGGTGGACTGGAGTCGTAGGACCACTGAACAGTAAGTGGAATCTGTTGTCGAAGGGGTAGTTGGTGACTGCTGACTAGAGAGAGAGAGAGAGAGAGTCGTTTGCATCGATTTTTATTTGTATGGCCCAGGCCGGCACTATATTGGGCTTCGGCTTAACTTTTAGTCATTGCCTTCCCTGACTAACCGTACCGGTCCTGTAAATTGAATGAATTAATTTCTTGTCAGCGTTATGCTAAGGATCGAACACAATATGTAAAATAATTTAAAATTTTTATTTAAATTAAATACTCTGCATTATATTGTATTTTTGTTAAAATATATTAAATAAAAAATTCATACAATTTTATAATTTTTTAATCAAAATTTTATATTTAACTAATTCTTTATCATGTTTTTCATAACTTTTTTACCCAAAAAAATATGATTTATTCTTTCCTATCTATGAATTCTTAATTAAAAACTTGCAATTATCTATAAGAAAAAAATAAATATGAACTAAAAAAATCCATAATATTTTTTTATAAAACTACGTCGTTAAAATAAAATAACAATTGATGCAAAATCTTGTATCAAATAATCAAATGAAAAAATTATTTTTGATTTTTATTTAATATTGATGAGAAAATAAATTTTTAAAAGTCAATAAATTTGATTTTGATATATTTATTCATAAAATTATCCACAATATTATGATAAAATGCATGTTTAAATAATTGGTTGATTTCACAAAAACATAATCTTAATTATTTAATTTGAAAAAAATTGACTCCATAATATCAATCAATAAATAAATAGTAAATGGTATTTGTTCTGTGTTGGTGTATAGTTAATTTTTAATAAAAATAAAAATTTAATATATTTATTATTTAGACAATAACTATACTAAATGGGTTTAAAGCTTGCAACACAAAATGAAAAATATTTTTAAAAACTAGTTAAATTTGTAAGTAGTATATTGAATAAATTTGAAGTTAATAAACTAAAATAAAAACTATTACAAAATAAATTTTCATAAATTTTAATCATATAAAGAAGTAGCAAATAAAACACATGAATTTTTTTGTTCCTTCTTAAATATTTTTTTCTAGGCCATACATGGTCAATCCTCGTATGCAAGTCTCATAAGCAGAGTTATGATTCAAAAATGCTCATAATCCATCATATAATTGTATTATTTATATTTTTTAAAAAAAAGAGAAAATAATCGTTGTCAACACCCAATTTCTACCCTAAGTAATTTAATTAAAAAATGTGAGTTTAAAAGAAAATACAAAAAAAAAAAAAAGAGAACTATTCAAAGAATAATAATAATCTGTGAGTTCAATTAAAAAATAAGAAGTGTGGGGTACCAAAGAAACCCCAATTGAGGATGCAATTGAAATGATCAAAACTCAAGATTTTAATTGAAAAGAAAGGAAGGGTATTATTGAGGAAAGAACCAAACAAATCAACACTAAAATTAAAAATTGAGAAAAAACAAGAACTAAGAATACTGTTTATCCAAAACTCTAAATTTTTCTTATAAATATCCAACCCTTTCGGCCATTTAACTTGTACAAAAATCCCCAAAAAAAAAAAAGCAAAAAAAACCTAGAAAAACCTAAAATCCTAGCCAAACAACTCCTAAGGAACCCCCAAAAACCCAAATAATTAATCGGGTTACCCGTCGGACACCGCCAAACTTCTCCTCTTCAATCATCTATCCTCTAATCGATTTTATCTCTAATCATCACCACTAATTGATAGCCTATCTCCGGATCGACTCATTCCTACCTAGGTTAAAGGAGAAAGGATGTCAAAGGAGGAAAAAGCAAAGCTAGAACCACTACGACCCGACCCATTTGACAACCTTATCGTATCTTATGATTATAGCCAAACCATCAATCGCCACCACTACAAACGTGGTCATCCGACTCCACGAGTAATTCTCCTTTGGAATCATGGCCAAAAATCACTAAAAAATAGACTAATCGATGACTATCCATTTCCCAATCTGTTTTGTGCAACCCAAAAAATTTACCGATGAAGGCCAAATTGAACCTTCTAACCATCACATAAACACTTCCATCAATGTCATGAGTCAATTGGTGTCCTCAAAATCTCCTAACATTGTCGAAATCATCATCGAGAAGAAGAGGAGGTTTGGTCACAACTTTAGAGTCTTGATCTCCCTTTTCCGACGTCAATAGCAATCGCTCCCACCATTATTGAGTTTGCAACAACCTCCTCACAACACGGGGTGATTCATGTATTAGAAAGACCATCACATGGTGATTAGGCAATCGATAATGATTGTTTCGTCTTCTAAAGGCATTTGGGTAATTTCGTGTGCATAGGTATTTTGGTCATTTTACAATTGACTAATGGCATTCTAGTCACCATATAGCAACCTCTTTAATACTCATAAATAGATACTTCCTTCTTTCCAATCGATCGAAATAATCAATCTTCATTGAGATTGAAGGAAGTAAAATTAATCCAAAAAAGGACTTATAACATTCTCACGACATTTGAGTAATTTTTGAACTTATTTGATTGTCTAAAATGATAAATGAGAATGACGCAAATGTTGTGTTGTGAATAATTAAGTCATCAAATATTCTTTTTGATTATGCTTGAGATTTTTATCGACTATTTGTTTACCCGAATTATAGCGAGTCGATGGTTTTTTATTTATGTGGTCAAAAACGCCCACGACTTCTAACTTAATTTATTTGCTTGTCTATTTGTTTAAATTGAAGCCGGTGGCTTCCTTCTTATGTGAACGAAGTTGCCTACGACTTCCAAATCATCTTATCTACCTCTTTATTTGTTAGAAATAAAGTTGTTTGTAGTTTTTCACTTATACGGATGAAGATGTCCGTGGCTTCCAAATCATCTTATCTACCCTTTTGTTTGTCAAAAAAAAATTTCGGTGGCTTCCCACCTACATAGACGAAGCTACCTACGAGCTTTCGAATCATTTGACCTACCTTTTTGTTTGTCTAAAATGAAGGCATCGGTGGCTTCTCACTTATGTGGATGAATCTATCCGTGGCTTCCAAATCATCTTTCAAATCTTTAAAAACTCACCTACTTGTTGGCATAGGTCGTGTTCGCTAAAGATTAGTCGAAATTCCAACTTTCCCACCTTTACCCTTTGAGTATGAGTATTGGCCTCAAACCGGCCTAAACCCCAAATTACTATATTATTCCATCCCGATAAAATAAATTCACTCAAATAGGTATAGAAACATAATATAGTAAAACTAGATTTTTGTTTTCACATACAAATAGTGCGACTTACTTCAAGTAGAACGGGATGGCGGTGATGTTATATCTTCTCCATGCATAACCGATCCCTTACCCAAATATCTTTGCAAGATCGGTATGTTTAGGGTTTTTTTAATTCTTCTCGATTAGCCGGTGGCGACTCTTTATTCTAACACATCCTTCGTAAACCCATATCGATAATCATGCTCTAAAATTTTATTCCAAAATCTAAACATAGATTTAAAAAATTGTATTTTTTTGTAAATAAAATTCAATAAAAATTAATTGGATGAGAATTCTACAAATTGAATAAATAAATTTTAAATAATAAGAGTAATATCATCTTAAATATATGTTGTTTTAAAATATAAAACCATATCATATACATTTTTCTTTTTTAGTTTGTTGAGAAACCCAAAAAATAATGATTGATCATCCATAATTTTTTCCACTAAACCATAAAAATTAAAATTAAAATTAAAATAAATTGATAAAAAAAGAGAAGCAAGAAAACCAAGCCTAAAAAAGAAATAAATAATTTGAGAGAGTAAATAGTAATTCCCGGCATTAAAAAAAAATCAAAAATGCAACACATTCATCTATATTTAACTAAACAATAACCCAAAACGACAATTTTATTCATTTCTATATCCTTTCTATTTCTCTTTGCTTAACTAATCTATTAAAAAAATCAGTTAAGATTAGAAGAAAAAAATAGAACCAATCAATCTAATTTGTTTATCAAATGAGAGAAAGGATAATTGGAAGTATTAAAAATATTAACGAGCATTTCTACTCTAATTCACAATATTTGTCCATCAAAGAGCTTAAATTGACAATTTAATAGAAAACAATTAGCTCTAAAGTATTGTAATGGAAATTTAAGATATATATTATCAATTTAGGCTATTTGAACCTTAAACTATTAGCTTTTGGGCAAATTTTATCCTTTTCGATTACTGCCGACAATTTTTTTTTATTTTTTTTAGAATTAAATTTAATTTCAATTTTTTAATAATTATTAGTTTTAAGGAAACTTAGATGATTTTGTTGTTTATGAATTTGACTTTTATTTTTGGATAATTAATTATGTGTAATAAATCCATCAAGCAAAAAAAAATATTAAGAATTTAAATTAATTTTGAAAAAAATATTTAATAATAATTAGCTTAGGGTAGCTTAGATTTCTTTTTATGGATCCTATTTTTGTTGTTCGATAATTAACGATGCTCAATTGATCCATGTAGTTTTAAAAAAATAATTATAATGATCTTTAAAAATTAATTATTCTAAAATAAATATGAAATACTTAAAATGATGTAGTTTTAAGCATTTTAATTAACGATCAACACATTGACTATAAGAAATAGTGAAGAAGATAGAGATAATGAATGAAGGATAAAATTTACCCAATAAAAATAATAATTTAGAGTTCGGATAGCCTAAATTGATAATATTAGTCTTAAATTGTCATAACCGAATAATTTAAATGTAATTCTTAGCATTAAAGTTTAGTCGACAAATCAGATTGCACATTTAAATGTTCTCTCGTAATGGAATTAGGAAGTTACCAAAAAGGATGTAGAGATGCAAAGAGAAAAAAAATAAAGAAAGGGTAAAAACGTAATGACGAGGTCACTTAACGACATAAAACGTAAATAT